AATCTTAGTTCACGCTCAGCTACAGGCTCAGAGCAGCTGGGTCAATGCGTTGTTCAAACTAGCCTTCGTTCTCTGTTCCATAATGCGGACGCTTTCGCAGGAGGGATTCTGCCAGCCCCCAGACGGAGACGATGCAGGTGCAGGTGGAGAGGTCACGGATGCTGCGGGAGGTGTAGGCATGGGAGAAGGATCCGGAGCCGAAAATGTCAGCAAGGAGATCGAGGACGAGAGCCAGGTAGAAGGTCTGCAAGGAGATGGCGTTGAGCCTAATAAGGATCAAGGCGAGGCAGAGAAAGACAACGCCATCGAGATGAGCGAGGACGTCGGTGGAGAGATGGAGGATGTTCCTGACAACGGCTCCGAGGAGGATGACGCCTCGGACGGGGAGAGTCAAGCAGATCCCGAAGAACAAATCGAAAAGCTGGATTCCAAGGATGCGTCTGCGGTAGACGAGAAGCTGTGGGGAGATGAGAAAGGTCCCGATGCTACGGACGACACGGACGGGAAAACGAATGAAGACCACTCCAAAGAAGAAGGAAAGGACTCCGAAGTCGCCGCTAAAGAGCAAGGAAATTCGCGGAAAGATAAGAGGAGTCAAGAGGGCAATGAAGATCGGCCAAGTGCACCCGACGAGCAAGCGACGGAGGACGTAGACGAAGGAGACGGACCCGATGCCAACGACGAGGAACCAAACCCCACCGGCGCCCCTATGGATGACCATGTACAAGATGCGAATACTCTTGATCTTCCTGAAGACCTCGATCTTGGTTCCGGGGAAGAAATGGAGGAAACTGCAGGAGCTGGAGATGAGGAGGACGTGGACAATAATGACATGGACGTGGACGTGGACTCGCATCAAGATTTCCCCGAAGATGAAGGTCCTGAACAAAAGGATGTCGACCAATCTGCGGATGATGATCCAATGGCGCCCGATGAGCACGAAGGGGGACCGCCAGCAGCAGATCATCCTGAGGACGTCGAAGGAGAGGAAACCAAAGAGGATTCCGTAGAGCCTGATGAACAAGGGGTGGCGCGGCCGGATGTGACTCCTGGGGAGGGTGCTATCGCTCCAGAAGAAGCACATGATTCAGGCGACACCGAAGACGCGTCAACGGGACAGAAAGGAAAGTCAGGAGGGGCCAGTGGTCAGCAGCAAAATGGTGACGATGAGCATGTGGATCAAGGGTAAGCCTTGGATTATCCTAAGAGTGTTCCATACCTAATGCTCGTACGCGCAGATCGCAACAACTCAGCGATCCTTCTAGCGATCCTCAGATCGGCGAAGCGACAAATGCGGGATCGGCCAATAGTGGCACCCAGCAAGGCCATGCTCCATCTCGGTCGGACGCCCAGCTAGTTAGCAATCCTCTGCGGAGCCTAGGAGACGCTCTGAAGGAAATCCACCAACGTTTTGAAGAGATCTTGAACTCCCAAGAGACTTCCAATCCAGCTCCAGCAAGTTTGGGCGATGCTCCCAGCGCACCACAACTCGAGTATGTTCGCCCAGATGAAGGTCTCGAGGAGGATATGCAAGCTCTCGGTTCAGCGGGAGAGGATCAGGTTGCAAAACTTAACGATCTAAAAATTATAGACGACCGCTCCCAAGTAGACGAATCGGCTCAGCCTATGGACATTGATCCCGCCACTGAGTCTGACAACCATAAACGGCCCAACCCGAAGTCTTCCCTCCAGACCGAACCCACGACTAGGACGATGGGAGAAGGCGTGGAAGGTGCTGTAGTTCGCGACGAAGTCCCGGCAGACCAAGCACTGGAGCGAATCACATCGTTGGATGATACGTCTGTCCCCAACGCCGACGTTGACATGGAGGACCAGAACGCGGATGTCGAAAGCGAGCTCAAACGATGGCAAGCGGATGGTCTTCCCGACGATAACGCAGAACATATGTGGCGTTTGTATGAATCCCTCACCCAAGATCTTGCCTATGCACTCTGCGAGCAGCTTCGTCTCATTCTGGAGCCCACGCTCGCTACCCGGCTCAAGGGTGATTATCGCACCGGCAAGCGGCTCAACATGAAGAAGATAATCTCGTACATCGCTAGCGACTACACGAAGGACAAGATCTGGCTACGGCGGACACGGCCGAGTCAACGCGAATACCAAGTTCTCATCGCGCTCGACGATTCACAATCCATGGCCGAGTCGCATTCCGTGCATCTCGCATACGAAACGCTGGCGCTTGTGTCCAAAGCACTCGGTCGTCTCGAAGTCGGCGACATCGCCATAGCGAAGTTCGGCGAGGCTGTTGAAGTGCTGCACGGATTTGACGAGGGCCCGTTCAGCGGTCCCGCGGGCGCAAAGGTCATGAGTGCATTCCGCTTCAACCAAAAGGCGACGAACGTGTCCGCCTTGATGGGCACGAGCCTTCGTGTACTCGAGACTGCGCGGGAGCGCAGGTCGATGAGCTCCTCCTCCGCAGCGGATTTGTGGCAGCTGCAGATCATCATCTCGGATGGAATATGCCAGGACCATGAGAGTCTACGCACGGCCTTGCGAAAGGCGGAGGAGCAGCGCGTTATGGTGGTCTTCATCGTCATCGACTCTCTGCATTCGGCCGCTGCGGCAAAGGAGGGCGCAGATTCGAAGGGCGGTGATGCCACTGCTGCGGCTCACAATTCCATCTTGTCCATGAACAAGGTCGCGTGGAAGAACGTCAACGGAGCAATGGAGATGCAGCTGGAGCGCTATCTGGACTCGTTCCCGTTCGAGTATTATGTCGTGTTGCGGAGTGTGGAGGCATTGCCGGAGGTGTTGTCGAGTACGCTCAAGCAGTTTTTCGAGCGCGTTTCGGAGGAGTAGTTCATCCTATGTTTTCTTATATATCCTCATCAAGAATGTATTGTATTAATTGTATAATTTCATCTATTCTACACTCCGGACGACGCATATCTCCTCAGTAACGGGTCGTTCAATAAATTCTGCATGACATCCTCCTTGAGGTGCAGGGACACGCTTACACCGTCCTCGCACCAGTGACCGGAGTTCTCTTGCGCAGGCCCTCTTTCCATCACCTATTTGTCCGCTAATCAGTAGGGATGCGTAGCAAAAGCAGACAGGACAATCGCACCTGTATGCATCCATCCACACTGGGCATAGCAGCCTCAGCATACCTCGGTGCGCTGCCCGCACCAAAATCGAGCGCATACATCCCGAGGCGCAGCCAGGATGTGACAATAGAGTTCCGGCGGCCGAGGAACGCATTCCAGCGGCGCTGCGGCGCGAGCTCGTATGCGAGTTCGTGGAGAACGGCGGATATAGCGGTGGGGGTAAACTGGGCGACCGTCGTGCGGATGGACGCGGCGAGCGTGCCCAGCGAGCGCGAAGATGTGCACGAGGCGAGGCCGGTGGTCGTTACGTGCGTTATCATGAGGGGCGAGCCGAGGAAGGCGTCGGGGAGTGCGGGGGACACCCGGGGGCGCAGGCCGAAGGTGACGTCGAGGTGCATGTCGCCAGGGTCGCTCTCGAGGCCCCGCGCGCGGATGACGAGCGTCCATATGTGTGCGAGCAGAGAATCAAGGCGACTAACAAGGACCGACGTCTCACGCGACGCGTCTTCCCATATTCGGCGCACTTCGTCTGCGCTGAAATATATCATATAGTGGTCAACGGGGGCGGCAACATCCCATTCCGCCCACGGTAGTGGCGGGCCCAGTGGCTCCACCGACACTGCGTGTAGAGCCGAAGGAGTCTGCGTAGCTTTTGTGGGAAAAGGACAGTCACGAGCGGATGCCCACCAGTCGTACCGATGTATGGGTAGCATTCGTGCGTCCACAATAATATTCGGATCTGATTCTGCGGCGTCGATGTTCCCAGCAGCGGTGCGATCCAGCAGCGACGGTTCGAAGACGGGGGACAGCACCGGTGCAGATGCATGTGCGCGGAGAGCACGGTTGACAGCAGCCCAGTCATGCATAAATTGAAGAAGGCTTTGCGCGTCGGCGAGCGGATGTGCCAGTGCGACCGCGATCGCGATTCCGCCACAATCTAACGTCGTGAGCTGCACAATCATGCACGGCAGCCCTGTGTAGTCAGAGAGGTTGTGCAGCGCGAGGGGCGGGGTCGTGGGCAAAAGCTCCGACAACGGCAGGCGGGATGCGTCCCAGATGCCCGCAGCCATGCGCTCGCCGGCAGTAGGGACAAGGGCAGACAGGATGCGCGGGGAGTGCGCTACGACGAGCTCTACGCCTGGGTCAGACTCGCCTCCGTACGTGATGGCCAATCGCCCAAAGCGCGTCGTGTGGTCGCGTTTAGCCTGTTGCGCGTCGTACGGTGCCGTGGCCCAGTGTAGCTGCCCAGCCCACTGCGGGTACGCGTGCAAAGTAGTCTCGAGGGCGCGTGTAAGTTGGCCTGGAGTCAGCACACCGTCTTGGGTCGGCGACTCGGCGAGGCTATCATAGAACCAAACGGCTGAGGTCGGTGTGAAACGGGAGACTGTAGCATCGACGATAGACAACGGCGTGGTGTGGGCAATGCAGGATGGGGGCGAAGGGAATAGACGAGCCCTAGATTTGAGCTCGACCTCTAGTACAGTCATTCTCTGTATACGCATATAAATCGTCAACAAGTCCTGGCGTCGTAACACGGATAGATAATCACATTTTTTCTTGGTATCTTGAGACGTCTTGTGGTGACACTGGGGATGGCCGTGCTTCAGCATGGCATCGTGTTCGCAGCTATGAGTGCTCCCGTAAGCACTGACTCGAGACGCTTCTCTCGGTCCCTTGCATTTGGTGACACAAGTTAATTCTGCGAGATGTCAAAAATTAATGACGAGTCCGAAAGACTGTTCGTTTGGTGAAAGGAGTTTTGCATGTAAACCACCACAGATAACGCACCGTCACGATGGTAGTAACTCGACGTCGTGGACACTGGACGTTAAAAGTACGCGCCGCGTTGCCAAATTCGAGTTGCGATTCTGGCTGTTCTCTGCTTGATTTGAACCACCCGGTCATGGTATTACATCTCCACCTTCTATACATGCCCGACTAGCTCAATCGGCTAGAGCGTCAGACTTTTACGATGTCTTGACTTTGTCGGGTAGATCGCCATCTGAAGGCTGCGAGTTCGACCCTCGCGTTGGGCTAATGGAAACATTTTTTGGACTGTGGGACGGGGAACGCCTCGAGCTGGCACTGCGGATCTTCAGGTGGAGAGTTCAACTTCTTGCGCATAGAATGTGCGTTGTTCGGGGCCTCGGACGTTGAACAATTTAAAGGAAGTCAAGAAAGTCAACTCGAGTAAGGCACCAAGGCGTCGCTAATTTTTTTCTATGTACAACACGTCCTGCATTTTTACAATCCCCAAGCCCTCCAGAGTCCGACTGCAACAAAATCGCAACATATACTGAACCAACCGTGACGAACCTGACAGTCTGCCATTTGATAGGGCTTGATGCGCCACGACGCCGCGGACACTGTTCAATCAAATGGACACCATAGCGCCCGAAAGCAGACCGCTGCATACTTTGAGGATATGGCACTTTCTCGTTCTCCTCTTTCATCATGGCACTCCAGCTCAGCACTTTCGAGTCCGACCCTCTCACCCTAGCATTAGCACCCCCTATAGACGAGTCGCCAGCCGCGCGTGAAGATCGAGAGCGCCGCGAGCGTGACGCCCGGAAGGTCAGCCAGCAAATCGACGACAGCATTGGTTCCGAGAGAGCTGCTTTACGGAAGAGACAAAAGTCGACGATCAAGGTCTTGCTCCTGGGTCAAAGCGAGAGTGGTACGTCGCGTCGTTCCTACATAGCGGGCGCTCTCAGGCCTGATATGCGTGTTCCTCGGCAGGGAAGTCGACCACTATCAAAAGTACGCACCGTGTCCTCTCGTGATGCATGTGCCGTCGACGATAACCATCATGGCGCAGATTTTCAGTTAGCGTACGCGCGCGATGCGTGGCTTGAAGAGCGCGCTGCCTGGCGCGCGGTTGTCTACCTCAATCTTGTGCGCTCTGTGAATCGCATTCTAGATGTCATCACTGCCGAGCTAGACACCGCCTCTCATACTCAGCTGACCAGTATCGATGCTGCTACGCACTCGGAAATGACGCTTGTAGCACCGGATGACCTTGATACGCTCCTCAGGCCGTCGGAGGACACGGACGCAACACACGAAGCATCCCCACCACCGTCGAACGGCGCGCAGTCAAGCGCCGTAGACGAAATGATGCAGCCGACGAAGTCTGCAAGGCTCGGCGACGAACACATGATCCTCAAGCTGCGATTAGGTCCCCTCAAGCAGATTCAGCGTGATCTTGAAGTACTCTTGGGTTCCTCCTCTTCAGAGTTGACAGATGTCTCTGGCACGTTTTCCCCCGCCGCTTCGCCTTTTCCCGACCCGGCCCCCCTTGATTCGCGAATCAATGCCCGCCGCCCGCACGAATTCTATATACGATCTAGCGTTGGATGGAAGACGGCGCTCGAGGCGGTCCGTCCGCGCAGTGCATCGGGCGGTGATGTAACTGTGTCGCGGAATGGCATTAACCGACCACCTAGTGCAGGCGGGGACCGCCCACGCATGACTGGAAACGCACGTCAGCGAAAAACGGACGAGGCAGCGGACGTCATCGCAGGGTGCCGAGAAGATATCAAGAGGTTATGGAACGATCCGGCCGTCCGGAAAGCCCTCGTTGCTCAGAAAATTAGAATGGAGGAGAGCCCCGGATTGTGCGTTTCCTGACTTTCGTGCGGGATTTCTGTTTGGTTGCTAACTTCGTACTCGTAGCTTTTTAAATGACGTAGATCGTATTGCTGACAGCTCATACGAGCCATCCGATGGTGATGTCGTCCGCGCCCGCCTACGCACACTGGGAGTACAGGAGTATGTATTCAACCCCAAATTTAGTAAGCCTACTGTATCTTGCATTGCAACGTACGGCTTACAGGCATCATATAGAAGGCGAGCATGGCCGCGTGTGGCATATGTACGATGTTGCTGGCGCACGCACCACCGTGAGTTGAAGTAGTCATCTGAAAGCACCGCAACCTGACAAATCCACGCAGCGAGCGGCGTGGCTCCCGTATTTTGACAATGTGAATGCGATTATATTCCTTGCACCGGTCTCCTGCTTCAACGAGGCCCTCGCGGAGGACAAGCGCGTGAATCGGCTGCAGGACAGCACACTCCTCTGGAAAGCTGTTTGCTCAAGTCCGCTGCTCGCGGATGTGCAGCTCATTCTCTTCCTCAACAAAATTGATCTCCTCGAACACAAGCTGCGGGACGGCAAGTTACAGATACGGGAATTTATTCCGAGCTATAAGGATCGGCCGAACACCGCAGAGAGCTTGACGGACTGTAGGCTCCTTCTCCTTCCGCTTGCGGAGCCTGTGTTTTCTCATTAATGGGCGGTGGACAAACAGATTTAAAGACCAAGTTCAAGGACACGTTAAGAAATTACTCCCCTAAACGGAGGCCGTTCTTTGTACATCTAACATCAGTCATTGTGCGTCTTCCTCTGCGTCTAGTCCACGCAAACCACTCATGTTCTCTCAGGACACGGAGGCCACTAGAGATACTATCATAAATGGTGAGCCGCCTTTTCCCTATCATACCTTGATTGCGATTCAACTCCTTGCGTTGCAGTACAAGAAGGTATCATGCGGAATGCCCTCAAGTCGGCGCAGTTAGCGCTCTAATAAGGGTGTACGCACATACGCGTTTAGAGGTGTTGTCCTTTCTCACTGACGGCGTAGATGTTGGACTTACTTGGGGTGTGGAATGTATCTGTATTTATTTCATCGCGTTCACGCGTTCATGCACCCCTACCACACCCTGTCTGCGTCCTCCCTTACACGTGCAGGAGGTGTTTCCTAGATCTTCCAGCATACATATCCCTTGGAGTCGCAACGACTACCGCCATCAAGACTGTGATACTGACATGGCGTGCTGTGTCCAGGGCATGTAAGTACATGTGTTTGCTATGACTCCGCGTGCATTGCTCATGAGCTCCGTGCAGGTCCGCTCTCATGTAACAATCAGGCTCATCAGGCCACATGGACATGAGATAGCTAGTCGTGCTAGGGTCGTGCTGGGCGCTGAGAGTCTGAGACTACTCAGTGCTCAGCTCCGAGTCGGCCTGTATTAATTTCGCAGCGGAAACAGTGCAATCGCGATACACGCCTCCTACGCGCACCAACCGACAACAATGGATACTCGCCATCGTCCATAGCGTCGCGTACATAGTACGTCTTGGCTGCAAACTGGAAGCGACTAGCATAGATACTTTGAGTCCGGACCAATAATTATTATAAGCCTTTGTCCAATAAGTCTGAGCGCTCCGCCAGCGAGCTCGCGTCGCGCGAGGTTGACAAAAATATTACTGTACTTTTCGTTTCGACAGGTTTCGACGCTGCTATAGGAGATTATAAAGCCGACGCTAAGCGGCCAACACTCACCGTCATGGACGCGGCGCGATGATGGTGGCCTATTCTCGCCCACTATGGTGCCAGAACACGAATCACGGCGTACTTATACTTATCCGTTGTGGTATGTAGAGCGGGTGGATCAATCGTCTCGTCTTCAGGTTGCAACCCCCATTCTACTCTTTGGAGTCAGCGCTCACAGTGTGCGGTAGCGGCGCGTGCAACGTTGTACATCTGTTGCCCTCAATGATTGCCCAGAGCAACGAGTGAGCTTTCTTCACAATGTCTTCATATCGCAACATGATGAGTTGTGCTAACATGCTCGTCAGTGTACTGAGCCTCAGTCCGGCGTACGCTGCAGGTGTTTCCGCGATCCTGCTCGTGACTCAACTTGGATTTTCGTTCATACGCCAGTTGCGTCTCAACGCAACACATAATAGCGAGATTAGCTGCGTACCAATTCCACGTCACGCTGGCCTCTCAAGTTGGCGATATACGATGGAGGCCGGCGGTCCGGTCAGATTCGCATTCTTGGCTGCGAGACTCCTCGGATGCATCGTCCTTCTGGCCTTGTCACTTGCCACTTTACGCCTGAACAAGGACCCTGAAAGACGGCTCGTGAATGCTGCCGCGTCCATCAGCTATGTGGGCACACCAGACGCGTCGCTCGTGCAGCAGATCTGACCAGTTTTGCCTAGGCATACGCTTCAATATTAGCCATCGGTTCACTGCTGGCGGGACCGAAGGTCAGGCAGCTAGTTACGAGACATCTCGTTCTACTCCTTGGCCTAGTGTGGGGCATTTTCTTCTATCGCAATATCTGGCCGCTCGGTACTTTCACATCGAGTCCTGAGGACCTCTCCGAAGGGCCCATCTTATGGGCAAAAGCTGTCTTACTTACCTTAGTCGCCGCGGTCATCCCGCTATCTATGCCCTGGAAATATACTCCCGTCAATGCTTCAGTAAGTGCCTGCTCACCGCTCCCGCAAAGGTGCTCATACCAATGCCGTCTATTATCTAGGAACCCATGGAACCCAATCCAGAGCAGACCGCCTCACCACTCTCATTTGTGTTTTACAGCTTTCTGGATCCGCTTGTCTTTCTAGCAAACAGGGTTCCGCATGTCAGCTACGATATGCTTCCTCCTCTGGCAGACTACGACTACGCGAAGAATCTTGTCTCCGCCAGCTTTCAGGTATTATACTTAGCTATTGGTATCCTTGAAACACATTTTAATATCCCTAACCAGCATCTGGACCCTTTGGCCTCGGGCGGAAAACGGCCTCACATGCTGTGGGGGCTCCTCAGAGCATTCCGTGAGTCCTTCCCACTGCAAAACCATGAGTTGGCGTGACCTTATTGATTAGGTCGTGATTTCTTGATAATGTTTGTTACGCTCGCCGTCAATCTTTTCACTAGTTTCACTAGTCCTCTGGGCCTCAATCGGATATTATAGTGGGTGCTCTCTCTCCTCTGTGCTCATGCAATGCTTGTCTTTATATCGTGCTACAGCTATCTCGAAACTGGCGGCGAAGGCGCTGTTGTTCGCCCATGGGTGTGGATTTTGTGGCTCTTCCTGGGACCCCTTCTCAGCTCTTTCACGTTTGATTTGTACACATGGTTGGGGGTACGTATCCTAATTTCAATCCATATAATGTGCATGGTCTAAATAGTCGTGGAACTGTAGACCAGATCTTTGGTTCGGTCGCAAGCAATTATCACAC